TAGTATACATGTTCACTCCCCTCTGGCCAGCCTTTGGACAGACTTGTAAGGTCAGGCTGCAGGGTGGGCAAGAGGTGGTTGGGGGTGACAGCAGCAGTCGTGGCACCAGAGTCACACTAGGCCTCCCCCCCTACTCCAGGGCCCACCAGGCTCCACAGAGAGTGTTATCAGATTACAAGAGGCAAGGCTGCTGTTCCTGGAATAAAGGGGAAGCCCAATGGAAAGGGAAAAGCAGTGAGGTAGAGGGCTGAGAGGCACCTGGGTTCAGATCCTGGCTCTACCACCTCCCACCTGTCACTTAGTCCCTGGGCCTCAGTTTACTCATTGGTTAAGTGAGGGGTTTAGACTAGAAGATCCACAAGGTCCCTTCCAGCCCTAAATGACACAGTCTGAATGCTCCCAGTTCCATCTCTGTCTGCTGGACTTCTTCAGTCCTCCACCCCACCCCACCCCACCACTGCTTCAAGATACAATTATCTAGGCAGTGCCACTTGTGAAAAGCTCTGGTTTCTTGTCTTCCCGGCAGCTGTCCCTGCCCTCCACCCTGGGGCAGCCACAAAATCTTAGAATTTAGCATTGGAAGGACTGCAGAGCTCACCCACCATAGCCACCTCATAATACCAAGCAGGAAACTGAAGCAGAGGGGAGAAGGCTGGGCCCAGAGACCCATGGGGCATAAGCAACAGAACCAGGATTCAAAGCAGGTCTCCCGACTCCAGATTAAGTGCGTTTTCCACAGTATCCACTCCTGGGCTTACTTCCTCCAAGCCCCCAGTTGGCCACTCCTCAGGATTAATTGGGATTACCAGTGCCCAGGAACGGATTTGGGGTTTCTGAGAAAGGAAGAGGAAAAGAGGAAATGACAGGAGGCTTGTGGCTCTCCCCTCTCCCCAACCTTCCTACTGAGTCAGATGGGAAACCAGAAGACCCTGGCTGGTTGGGAGCGAGGGGCCTCAGCACTTAGCAAGCATTTTGTTTGCAAATGTTTTACAAGCGTTTTGCTGCATCATTCGTGAGTGAGGCTCTGGTTGCTGAGGACGGCATGAGTTTGACTGTTTATAAACTGGCTAGGAGCTCTCCCTCAGGAGTCTTATCCCCAGCCCCCACTGCACCTGGCAGGGGTATTCAGGCTTACTGCTGCCCACAGGGCCACTCGTGCCTGAGCCCAGATCTCTAGCTTGGCCAGGGCTAGTCTGCCAATCCCACTCAGGGGCCCAGCTTGCTCAGATTCTGTTTGAGGCCACCAAAGAGAAGTGCACATACTGTAGTGAGAAAACAGGATTTGAAATCTGAAGACCTAAGTTTAAATGTCAGCTCTACACTTCATACCTGTGTGACCATGTTTAAGTCATTTAACCTATCTGAGCCTCAGTTTCCCTGTCTGTAAAATAGGGATAACCATACTTGTGCTAACTACCTATTGCGTAGAAAGTGTTGTTATGAAACTTGTTATGAGTACAGGTAAATCAGAATTATCGGTCCGTTGGGCTGCTGACTTCCTGTGAGAAGTGGGAATAGGCAGGTCCCAGAGGAGGGGCAAGGTCTCTCAGTTCCAGAATGAGGGAATTTTGCTTGGAGGCAAGAAGATCGACTCATGCTGCCCTGTCCTGCTAGCTGAACAACATAGCGTAAGTGGAATGGGAGATGCCTCTTTGATCTCTTTTCTGTGCTCTGTGCTTTGTGCTTGTGGCAGATCCCAGGGGGCACCGTGGCTCCCTGCTGTCAGCCTTTGGAAAGACTGATCTGTAATTGCACCAGGCCTGAGGAGATGTTTGACGTGCAGGGGGTGGGGCAAGGGGCTCCTCTGGCTCCAGGGGCCCCTCCGGCTCAGAGAGCAAAATCTCTGATGGTCTCCACGCTGGTTAGAAATAGGGAAGGGATGGTGGGCAGAAGGCCTGAAATGTGGAATGATCTCCGAGCTTTGCCATCCTAGAGCCAGCTAGGCACTGCCTGCACCCCAAAGGGGTCTGAGCACCCAGATGAATAGAATGACCATTCTACCTTCTGCCTGGCCAGGGCCTAGGAGAGCCTTTTCTGTGGTAGCAGGTGGGAGAAGCCAGTCTCCTTCAAAGCTTTGAGATGGGCAGAAGCTGTTGGCACCAGCCCTAATGGCAGATATTACTTACTCCGTGGGGGAAGAGTAGAGAGGTGGGAGGAGTAGATGAGAGGCTCTAGATTTTCTATCCCTTAGTTTCCTCATCTATAGAATTGTCCATATACAGCCTACCTCCCAGGAATGTGAGGAAAACATTTCCTAAACCTTGTAGTGCTAGAGAAACAAGACATTATTATTTTTACTGTAGGGGAGCTTGAATTCCCCACAGGCCTGAGACCCACAGGAAACCAAGCCTCTTTGCTGGAGCTCAGAGAGAGGGTAGGGGCGGCCCAAGGCCCAAGACCACGGATGGGGCCTGAGTCCTACAGATGCCTTCCCTAGCTAGGCAGGAGACAGAAGCTGTGAGAGGGCCACACAGCCCTCCCGAAGGCAGGACACTGGATTTGAGGAATAAACAATGCAGGTTGTTACAGCTGGGAGTGACCTCCTAGCACAGAAGAGAGGCTGCCCTCATTGGCAGTCTGGGGAAGCCTCCGTACCCCTTCTAAGAATTGTGTTTTAGATGTGTAAAATAAAGCCCAGAAAATCACAAAGCATCAAAGTCCCAACTGCATGTACCTCAGGTCAAGAAGCCCCTGTCGTAGAATGTCAGGCTTCCGGAAAGGACTCAGCTTGTGCATATGAAATTCATACTACCCCAGACCCCAATATTTAAAATCAGTAGACTGAAAGAGCCTTGCATTTGGGATCAGAGGATCTGGGTTCAAATCCTGGCTTCATTCCTTATGTGACCCTTAGGGAAGTCACTTGGCTTTTCTGGGGCTTAATTGGCCTGTCTGTAAAGTAGAGGAGTCAGACTAGATGACCCTGAGATCCCTTCCACAGCCCCGGAAATCAGATCCCAGGATTGTTCCCTTCTCGTCCTCCCTCACCTGGCCAGCGGAGTGACGTGTGACTGCTCACACACCCACAAGCTTCGTGTGCCTGGCCATCAGGCCAGGCTCTCCCACTGCACCAGTCCTCGGAATAACAGGAACACAAGAGTTCCTCCTGTGGGTCTAGGAAGCTCAGAGCTCTCTGGAGGTCCCAGGGAGGGCGGGAGGGAGTTGCCTCTGTTGTTCCAGTTTTGAGTACAAAGGAAGGGGAGGCTCGTCCAAGGCCACCCAGGAAGAGTGACAGCCAAGCTGGGGATGCTCTGCCTGCTGACTGGTGGAGTGAGGCCTAGGCTGGGGAGACAGGGGCTCCTGGAAGGGAGCTGAGAGACTGGGGGAAGGACCACGGATGGGGCCATTCTCCCAGGGAGCCTCAGAGGCTGCAAGCCTGTCCCCACCCTCTGTGACTAGGGGAAATGGGGCCGGAAGCCAGGCAAGCCTGGCCACACCTCAGCTCCAAGTTCCTGCCATTGTGCTCAGGGAAGTTGGGGGGCAGAGCACTCCAGGTCTGGGCGTGGGCCCCTGCCGAGGGAGTGGGATGCCTCCACTGGGTGCTGCAGCCCTGCGTCCCTGGGTCATTGTCCCAGCCAAGCTTCACTGGGTGCCTCTGATCCCACCTTGTCTGTACCTTCACCAAGGCCTGTTGTGTGCAGGACACTGGGCTGAGGAGAAGCTCTGACATAGAAGCAGAGATTGAATGCTACAGTGCACCGTTAGAAGCCATTTTACAGATGAGGAAGTTGAGGCATAGACATGCATAACTGTAATACAAAGCAAAATGTGATGAGGATCAGGAAAGCAGTTTAGACAGGGGAAGTGGGGAGCCTAAAAGAGACAGTCTGACCTGGTGGAAAGAGCATCACATCCCTCTCCTGCTTCCTACTACCTACCAGAACTGGGGCAGGTCTCCTTCCAGCTGTCTGTATTTCCCTTTCCTGCCCCGTAAAAGTTGAAGGGATTGGACTACATTATCTCCAAGGTCCCTGCAGCTCTAATTCCTATGGCTCAGGTGCAGGGTGGCCCAGAAGACCCAGGGCAGTTACAGGGCACTAGTAGCAGCCCTCTGGGCTGGGGGATGTTCAGGGAAGGCTTTCTGGAGGAGGCGTCAAGATCGGGCCTCAAAGGGCAAGAAAGATTTAGCGTGGAGATTTGGTGGGCTAATCAGATGGAAGGAAGAAACAATGTTGAAAGTGCAGAGTGACAAAACAGTTTGGATACTGTGGAGATTCAGGGTTTTGTATGTCGTTCTTTTCTGTTCTTTGTAGAGGTAAATGTGTTGGAATGTGGCAAGTTTGTCATAATAAGGGGAATTTTTTTTCTTTTTAAGGAAAGCATGAGATGTGTTAAGGGAGTGAGGAGTGTTCCAGTTTAGGTAGAGTGTACTTTAAGACATCTAGTTGCTGTACTTTCACCCAGGGTGGGTGGCCCCTCCACTAATGCAGGTTGCAGCTCTTCTTGTGGTTATGTGATGGGCCAGCTCCCTGGAGATGATTCTCACTACACTTAGCAAAAGTGTTCTGGGAACAAGAGACGGCCCATGGCCAGACCCATCCCACACTGCTTCAGGCTTGGGAGGACATGATAGCAGGACCGTCTTAGCCTTCCCATGCCTGCCTGCTGGGAGACCTCTTCTAAGGAAGACCATACTCTTAGATCCTAAAGCACAGAATGATGATAGTAACAAGTCCCATTTCCATCATCACACTTGGTCATATCCAAAGGGCTGTCCCTTTGCTGAGCCAGGGGGCACGAAAGGGAGAGGAAGGCTGGGGCATGTGCCAAGGGTGGGTCAGTAGCATACTTGGGTAAGCAAGTCTGGGGACACTTGCTTTTACCCCAGAGGCCTCAGTATCCCTTGGTAAGGGAAAAAAACTCCTTGGAAAAGCCCCCTCCAAGCATATCCCTTGTAGCTGTGCCAATGCTGGCTGGTCCCTCCATCTATGTTGTGTGGATCCCAAGTGGCAGTAGGCCTGGCTGTGCCTGATCACCAACCTCTCCTCCTTTCTTTCCAGGTGCTGGAGAGTCCGGGAAGAGCACAATTGTAAAACAAATGAAGTAAGTGTTGGTTCTTGGTTGACTAAAGGGTGATGTGGCACATGTATGCTGGTTAGTGGAGGCACTTGGATGGGCAGAGGGGAATATATGTGTCTGGAGAGCTGTGGGGGAGCAGAGGGGGATATGCAAACGTGGACTGTGTGTACGGGAGGTAAGAATGAGGTGGATGATGGCAGCTCCATGTTGGAACCTAGCCATCGGCCCCAGGCCTCCTTTGCTTCTTGTAACCCAAGAGTAGCAGCCTTCCCTCTGTGTGTAGGAGGGGAAGGAACAGACTTCAGAAGTGACCCGGCCAGGCCCACCCCACTGCAGGCCACGACTGCTCAGATCATAAGCTTGCAGATCCTGGTTTAGCCAGGAGTGGACCAAGCTGCGGACTAGAGACAGGTTTTGGTCCTGACTCTTGCTAACTTGGGCACGTTCTATCCCCATGGACCTCAGTTTCCCCTTATGTAAAATGAATGCTTGTTAGATAAGTGATTAGATAAAATAAGAGATTTGGATGAAATGGTCCTCTGCAGTTGAGACAGTCTGTGTTCTGAAGTCTCTTCATTTGGCCCGCCATGCTATGTCCCCTGGGCCGTTCCTTCCACATCCAACATTCTAGGCTTAGTATCTGGTTACTTAGAGCTAAGATCTCTGATCTTGAGGAACAATGCCATCCCTGCTTAAATGTGGGCCTTCTGGTCTGTCCCTCAGGCTGGGACCCCTGGACTGGAACTTGCCCTTATAGAAATATCTTCTCAAGATTTCCTCATGTTCCACCCCTAAAATCTATGGAGGTCTCAGGCCTTAGCTCTGGAAGGGAGAGGAGGAAGCTGAGACCCAGTGTGGGGCAGTGACTTGTCCAGGGTCACACAGCCAGCTTTTATTAGAGCGAGGGCCAGAGCCCACACTTACTGACTGCCAGGCAAAAGCTCTTTGGAGAGCATCACGACCTCATACAAGTCCTCTGTTGGGACTCCCCGGGGCCTGATCTGACCCTACCAGTTGCTCCTATGGCCCAAGTCCCTGGAGTAACTGCCACAACATGCAGCGGGGCAGAAGGATGGACCCCCAGGAGAGGGGTGCCTGACCATCTGTCTGTCCTTTTTCTTTAGCCCCAAGCCAAAGGCAGAGTGCCTTCTACCCAGATCTTTCACTGAGCAGTAGCAGGCAGAAGCTAGGTTCATAAAGCACAAACCTAGGAAAACTGGTCTGGTCTAACCCCCTCATTTTACAGTTGAAGAAACTGAGGCCCAGGGGGGCATAACTTGCCCAAAGTTATAGAGTTAGTAAGTAATAGAGCTGGCATTTGAGCCTAAGGGGTCTTTTAAGGAGAAATTCTACAATGCCTATCAGAGAAGATTTCAGAGAAAGACTGGGCAGGAACTCAGGGCTGGTGGCTACCCAGCAGCTATCATGTCTTTATTGCCAGCTTCACCCCTTCTCTGCCCTCCACCTCACTTGTAATCTTGGGGGCCCAATGTCTCCAGCAGAGTACTTGGAGAGGCCATAGGGAATCATAGCCTGACCCAAGGATGCAAGGGCCGAGGGCAGCTCCCTTTGTGCTCGTTTCACCTTGAGATTTGTGGGTGTCCTCCACTTCTCTCAGGAAACTGAGGCCTGAGGCCACTTTCCTCTTTTTCTTCCCTGTGTCTTGTTAATTGGAGGTAACAGCACCTGCAGGACCTAACTCACCAGGTGACTGTGACGCTCAGGTGGAATAATATCTACAAAAGTATTTTGTAGGCCTTAAAGTACTGTGGAAATAGCCACTCTTATTGTCTTCTCTCTAGTCATCATTTGTATGGCTTGACACCTGTCCTAGCCTAGTGGCCGTCAGTGGCAGCCCCAAGAGTGAGCTGCCCTAGCAAGGAAGTAGCTGGGCCTTCTTCTGGAGTGGGCCTAGAACCCCCAGAGCAGGCCAGTGAGGGCAGCAGCTGTCCTAGCACAAGGATGTGTGGGTCAGGATTGGGCGGGGGCACGTCCATCCAGGAGGGTAGGAATCTGACTTTTTCCCTCCCCCCGCAGGATCATTCACGAGGACGGTTACTCAGAGGAGGAGTGCCGGCAGTACAAGGCTGTGGTCTACAGCAACACCATCCAGTCCATCATGGCCATTATCAAAGCTATGGGCAACCTGCAGATCGACTTCGGAGATCCTTCTAGAGCGGTACGTCCTGCTGTCCTGTCTTTTCCCCCGGGGCTGGGTGCCAGCCAGCTACACCAGGATTTCAGTGCTGGAAAGGCCCTTAGGAAATAGCCTGGCAGAACTGCGAGAGACCTTACTTAAAACAGAATGCCTGAGCTAGGTGGGACCATGGAACGTGGAATGTCTTGAGTTGGAAGGGACTTTAGAACTTAGAACATCAGAGCTGAGAGACACTCAAAGCACAGGATGCTGGGCCACAAAACTCAACCCTTTCTGGTTCCTTGGGGAGCGTCTGTTCCAGCCAGTAGGTTAGATGACAGTATCAGTGCTGGAGGGCACCTCCGAGGGCAATGGCTCCAATGAAACCTGAACAAAACGCCTCTCTAACATGCCCAATGCGCATGAGGCCCTTCTTGAGACCCTTCAGGGAGGATGGGCCCACCAACCCTCAGTCGGGGGAGGCCACAATTGCTGGTGGCTGGATTCAGTATTTGTTGCTCTCTGCAGCTGGGCTGGGGTAGGGACGGGGCCTATGATATCACCGCTGTCCAGAGCTCTCCCTTCCTCCCACGCTCCATAGGCTCAGAGAGTTGCCTGAGACAACGAGAGCTTGGGAAGTGACTTGGGCCAGGGTCCTAAAGTGAGTGTGTGCAAAGGCTCAGTCTTGAACATGGGTCTTTCTGGCACCCAGGCCAGCTCTCTCCCAGCCGTGACACCATGCTACCTCTCCTCTTAAGGATAAGATAGTGAAATCTGAGATTCTGTGGGAGTAACTGGGGATGTTTAGCCTAGAGAAACATAGACTGGGTGGGTGGGGGGTGGGGCAGTGCTAGCTAGCTGTTTGCAGGTATTTGAAGGGCTGTCATGTATGTGGAAGAGAGGTAAGACTCCTTCTGCTCGGCCCCAGAGGGCAGAATGTGGAGCTGTGGGTGGGGATGGTGGAGAAGGCAGATTCTGATTCAGTAGGAAAAGGGAATCCCTGATGAGGAGAGCTAGCCGACCACAGATGGAGGCTGCCATCACCATGGCCCGGGAGCGTCCCATACCTGGGAGTTTCCAAGCAGATTCATCACTGGGTGAGCTTCTGGAGGAATTTCAGATAGAGATTGAACTGAATGACCAGAGTTCCCTACCGACTTGGAAAGTCTGTGATTCTAAGTCCCTTGCTGTACAAATAGAGAAACTGAGGTGCAGAGAAATCAAGGGACTTTGTCAAAGTCACCTGCCAGGTCACTAGCAGCATGGCATGAATAATAAAAACAGCTCCCATTGACATAGTGCCTTCTCCACAGCACCGTTGTGAGGTAGGCAAATAACTATGTTATGAGCTCCATTTTATAGATAGGGAAACTGAGGTCCATAGAGGGGAAGTCACCAACAGGTCTTGCTCCAAGCTCTTGTTTTTCAATGAGTCCCTGCCTGAGTCTCCCAGCTCTCCACTGAGAGACAGAAGAAAGATCTGAGGTGGGGCCCTGGTGCCCCCTGACCCTGCCAGAAGGAAACTTCCCTGACCCTGGTGCTCTGTAATGCCCCCAGGATGATGCCCGCCAGCTGTTTGCCCTGTCCTGTACTGCAGAAGAGCAGGGAATCATGCCGGACGACCTGGCCAGTGTGATCCGGAGGCTGTGGTCAGATGATGGTGTGCAGGCCTGTTTTGGCCGCTCCCGGGAGTACCAGCTCAATGACTCAGCTGCCTAGTGAGTACCTCGCAGGCTTCTGGGGAGGGACAGGCCTGGGGCTTGGCCCCTGCGAGACTCTTGGAATCACCTGTAAACCTATCCCAGATTGCATCTCAGGCCTGGTGGGTGGGGTAGAGAAGGAACATCCAGGGCTCATGAGAGGGTGGAATCTTTGAGCTTGAATTCTCAAGGACTCAGACAGACAGACACACACACGCACACGCACACATACATGCACAGACCCTCTCATCCCTGGGAGGAAAGGTATGTGACAGAAAGGAGGGCCCAGGTAGGCCAACTTCCCTATATCTCCCCTCAGTCATTCACATTTCCTGGGGTCCTGCTGCATGGAGGGTCTTGAACCACACGGTATGAGAGACCAGTGGCTAAAAACCCCTAATTAAGCTCATGGAACCCAAATAAAATCTAGTGAAGGGATAAGACAGACACAGAAAACTATCACATGGGGCCGTTTGTCAGTACTGTAAAAAAGGGACAAGTGAGGCTCCGAGATTTCATAGACTGGTGACAATGTAAAATCCCATTTCCATCTCAGTTCAGAGTTTACTGAGCATTTTCCCCATGACACCACTGTGAGGGCACCTTGTTTAGGTCCTTGGATCCATATTTATGGATTAAGAAGCTCCCACCAAGACAAGTAAAGTGACTTGCCCTAGGTCACACAGCTGGGATGTGTCAGGGGGGTACCTGAACCCAGGTCTATCCTGACCCCAAATCTGTAACACAGCCCCTAGAGGAAGTGGCAGTCCCTTCCATTTGGAGGCCTGGGTTAGCGTATTAAGGAAATTATCAGCCCAAGAACCCCTATAGAGTCAGGGGTAGACCCCGACCTCCTAGCCCTCAACACATAGCCCTGTGACTCCTCCAGCCCAGCCAAAGAAAGGCCCATCTCTTGGGTAATTTTTAGGGCCCTAGTGTTGGTCTGGGAGGGCAGACGCCTGGTTTCCAGTCGTCCAAATGAAGCCTGAGAAAGATGAATGAGAAACTCCCACCTCCCTTCTGAAGAGGGCCTAATACAAGAAGGGAATAAGCATTTATTTAGTGCCTACAGCGTGCCCAACACTGTGCTGAGCGATTTTTTCAAGTATTGTCTCATTTCATCAGGGAGACGAGGCAGTTTCTTAAAAGCACAATCTTAGGTCCCTGAGAGCTGCAAGAACACACGCAGCCTGTTGTGATATGAATAGAGCCAGAAATGGGAGGATGAAGGAAGCAGGAACAAACCTCTTCTAGGGTATTTCAGAGTTTACAGAACTTTTTTTTTTTTTGGTGAGGCAGTTGGGGTTAAGTGACTTGCCCAGGGTCACACAGCTAGTAAGTATCAAATGTCTGAGGCTGGATTTGAACCCAGGTCCCCCTGACTCCAAGGCTAGAGCTTTATCCACTGCGCCACCTAGCTGCCCCTACAGAGCACTTTTCTTCAAATCACTTGATAAGCCAGGCTGGGCCTTTCCCCATTGTTGTCCTCGTTTTCCAGATAAATGGAGAGTTGAGGAAACTGAGGCTCACACTGTGAAACTGGGCTTGGGGTCACACAGCTGACTTGGATTTGAATCCTGGTGCTGGAGATAGAATTCAGCCCCTGGTCTGTGCCCTGCCTTTTACTGGGAAGCCCCCCTGGGCCTGACCTCCCTGCCAAGAGGCAAGACATGTGCTCACTCATTCAATGGCTCTATTTGGGCTCCTGCTCCCTCTGGGAACTCACCCAGCAGCTCCCTGGACACGCTTGGCGGGAACTCAGAAGCAAGTCCCAAACTCAAGGCCTGACATACACACAAAGCTATTTGGCTTTTGACGGAGGGCCTGACCCCAGCAGATCAGAGGGATTGGAGACAGAGACAAACCCCATGGTTTTTTAGGGGATATGAGCCTGGGGGGGGCAAGTTGACCTCAAATTCTTCAGAAGTATAGATTGTACAAAATGGACCTTGCCAAAGCTGGCTGCCAACCTGGCACTGGGGGAGAGGTACCTGAGAGCTCAGGACCAGACTCCTGAAGGGTGGAGAAGAAGCCAGCATCGGAACAGGGAGGGGATGGGACTTCTCCCTTAACCACTAGGTAGAAGCCCAGTTGCTACCATGAGAAAGGAGGAAACAAGCATTTATTAAGCACCTGCTATGTGCCTGGCACTGTGCTGAGCATTTTACAAATATCTGATTTGAGCCTTACAAAAACCCTGTGACACAAGTGCTAATATTAACCCCATTTTATAGTAGAGGAAACTGAGGCAGGCAAAGGTGTAGTGACTTGCCCAGGGTCACAAAGCTTCTAAATGTCTGAGGTCGAATTTGAACTTGGTTTTTCCTGACTCCAGGCCCAGTGCTCTGTGTACTGAGATGCCCCTGGCTTCCAGTCATACAAATAAATGGAAAGCTAGGCCTGCCCCTCTTAAACATATGCTCAGTGCCCTCCAGAAACTGACATAAAGCTTGGACAGACAAAACTACTTGGGCTGCCCCAAAATGAAACTTCTTCCTGTCCTGCCAGCAGGCCCTGGCAAAGTTGCCTTCAAGCCCTCGAGAAGCTCCCTTTCTGGCCCCTGCTCTGACTAATGGGATTCTGTGCTGCAGAACTGACCCAGACCGTCCAGGTCCTCTGGGCCAGGGTGCCTCACCTTTTTGGTGTCAAGGACCCCTCCCAGAATGCTTTCGCATGCATAAAATAAAGTGTTCAGCATCACAAAGGAAATCAATTCTACCGAAATAGAATTCTTAACATTTTTAAAAGGACAGGTTCATAAATTCCAGGTTAAGAAACCCTGCCGTATCTCATCTGACCCTCTCGATTGACAGATAAGGGGACTGAAGCCCTGAGAGAGAGTCACGTAGGCCAGGGCACCCTCCTGATCTGGCCTCCTTGGCCCCCTCTGCTCTTCCTCCGTCCCATCAGCTTTAGCTCTTGGCCTTGCCATCAGCTAAAGAATTAGCTAATAGGGCTTAAACCCTTCCACAGATATTTGCATTTTAATTGGAAATTCTGGAAGACTTAGGGCCCCACAGGAATGGAGATAGACTCTAGAATGACCGGCTGACCACCGAGATTTGTGGGAGGGAGTCTCCCCTGCCCCTCCTGTGGTGGATCAGATCACTCCTTGCCGGGGCCCTTTCTGGAAGCAGACTGGGACAGCTTTGGGGTCATGACCCTGCTCACTGATCTTTTTTGGATCTTCCTGGAGGCATGTATTTCTAGTAGTTACATGCTCTCCTGGCCATTAAATAGGGAGCCACTCCTTGCAAAAGGGTTTAGGGTCTCTTCAGGCTGTTGATGATGTTTGGATTTCAGGGACGGAGTGAGTAACTGAATCCCACACCGAGCTAGCCTTTCTCCATCTGCCTGCTGATCTGAGAAGTCTGTTTTCTCCCCCTCCCAGTAAAGGTCAGAACCCTTTCTCAGACCTACCCAGGCATTTGTGTTCAGATCCTTCAGGCCCACACCCCACCCTCTCCCTCACTGAAGGCCCCTTCCACTAGCTAAATGTTTGACTTTGCCAAACCCGCTGTTCAGCGAGCATGTATTGGGTCCCCACTGTGGGTAAAGGTAGGCCTATACTGAGAAGGGGAGTAAAGTCTCAATAACATGTGACCCCTGCCTTCAGGAAACTTATGTCCTGGCATCAATAAGGATTCCATTTCTCCAGTGTTTAATGTTGGCCAAAGCCCTTCCTTACAGCCACCCTGAGATACAGGTGGAAGTATCTCCTGTTTGAAGAAACAACCTCAAGGGGGTTTAGTGACTTTTCAAGGTCACACAGCCAGGAAGGATCAGACTTGAGATCTGAACCCAGCTCCCCTAACTCTGCCCGGGACTTCCTACCATGCTGTTCTCCCCAACCCAGCTAAACATGGGGACAGTCAGAGTTGGAAGGGACCCTCATGCAGACCCCTTCCTTTTGCAAAGGAGGTCACTGGGGCCCAGAAGGAGGAAGAGATTTGCCCACACTGAGTCAGGGACTAGAACCCGAGCTCCTGATGCCTGGACCAGATCTCTTCCCAGCACCTTGCTATAGCATCAAATGCTCACACTGTCACATGTTCCCGGTGTTTGGAATGGGGGCTGCTTAGCTTCCTGTTGGAGGAGAGTTTATTGGCCCTTCCCAGCCTCACCAGGCCCCCTGCCAAGCCTACGCCCAACCCTAACCTCTTGGGCTGCTTGGACCCAGTGTGAAACAAACAGTCATCCCCAAGGAACTGAGATTATTTTGTAGACACATAGTAATCAGCAAAGGAACATTCCCCCCCGCTGGGGAGGAGGGTGATCAGAGTCTCTGGGAACCCTCAGAATGGGGTCTAACGGGAGGCGGGCATTGAGAATCTGGGGAGCATTGGCCCGTCTCTCAGGGCTGGACCTCCCCTTAGCCCCTGCCTTTGGCCCCATGCCAGCTTCTTCTTACCCCCATCTTTGTCTTTGGGAGCTGAGGAGTCTAGCCACAGCCAGTGGTTTGGAAATTCTAGCTCTTACCTGGATGTAGCATCTGGATAGAAAATGGACAAGACACAAGAGTTGTCCCTCACTTACATCTGGGAAGATTATGTCCACACCAGGTTGCCCTGGAGTCCAGGTCATTGAGATCCTGCACTGCAAGCCCAGAACATGGAGAGCCTTGAATGTCAGATTAAAGTATCTGGGCTTAACCCAGTGCCTAGCATGGAGCTTTAGTCTTAGACACTTGGAAAAGGTTTATTGACTTAAAATGAGCTTGTCTTCTAGGCTGTGGGAAGGCACAGAGTTGAGTATCCAGGCTGAAATGGGACTTGGAGACCACCTCGTCCACTTGGGTTACCGAGACCGAAGACAACGGGGCTAGGATTGGGTCAGGTCCACGCTGCAGTTAGTGGTGAGATTAGGGCCGGAAGGTGCGTCTTCCACTGCAGGAGGCATTGGTAGCATTGGGGCAGCCTGTGCAGGCTTAGAAGGAGCAGCCCGCAGCCATGCCCGTGTGCTGGGCCTCGGGGCAACGGGGTCATGGATTCAGAGAGGAAGGGCCTTAGAACCAGTTA